GTGAAAAATATACTACCACTATACAATCACTGATGTTTTGTTGTTGACTGGACACTTATTTTGTAAAAGAGATAGCATGAGAGGATCTCTTAAGCAATGCAGCTCACGTGTCCTTTTTATATGCTGTCCATTGAAATGCAGGAAAGTAATCAGCTCTGAGTGATCTGTTGACGAGGGGACACTACACTGGAGTTACATAAGCAGAGATAAAGTGCTATTTTGGGGGGAACTCACCTCCTCTGGGGTCCCCCAGGAAGATTTTTTTTAAATATTGAAGTTAAAAGCATCAATCTTGTGCACTTTGAGAGCAACATTAAGAGATATGGATATATCTCTCAACACCCATATGTCAAAAAGAAATCAAAGAATCGGGTTTATTATTTAAAAACACTTCATTTTCCAATTAAATCATAAACTATGTCAAATGATTAGAAGTTGTTAGTAATCAGATTAAACATAAAAAAGGGATGGAAGGAGGAAATAATAATCCCTCATCTCTTGCTGTTTGCGGTTGAAATGATCTCTTTTGCTGGCCAAATGGAAAGCAGTGATGTCTCACTTGCCTTGACTTGTATCTGCAGTCCCTAAATCAGTTCCCCAGTTACCCATTGCCTCTTGTCTGTTCTGGTGTTCCTGTTCATTGTTGTCTCCATTGTTGTTCTTGTCTGTTGTATCTCCTTCTTGTGTGTCCCTTTCTCCTGTTCTCCTTTCTTCATCCTCTACTCTGTTTGGCTCATCTGTGATGACTGTGTAGGTAAACACAAACAAGTATGTAAGTCAATCAGTTTCCAGCTCTGTCAAATAAACGAATTTCAAGATACACAAATGTGTCTTCATTAAAATGAGTGTCACCACACTGTCACAAAATGTAATACTAACCAATTGAAAATAGTTAAATTTACATTGGAAACCTCTTGTTAGATATCAGTGTTAAGAGTAGTTATCTGCCAATAGGACAGAATCATTCCTATACAAATGCAGTTTGAGTAATTCACTTAATACATTTACTTAAAACTTTAATATAGTCATTTTCACTTAATACTCTAATATAGTCATCTTTCTGCATTCAACACTAAGGAAAGCTGTACAATTTGACATGATAATGAGGAAAAAAGGCCTCCGACAATGCAGATATTTTTGGATCATATCAATTTTAAGATGGGGGTCAAGGCTTAATATTTGGGAGCATAGTGTATCTTCCCCCTTTCAGGAGCCCCACTGGATTAGCTTTGATCTGAAATATTTGTATAAAAGCTTGTTAGCTGGCTGTCCATCTCATAATGTTCACATAGAAACTAGCTGTCAATAGGAAATATCAATCAGAAGAATTATAATTTCTTGCAAAAATCTGTCACAAAAGAGGTTGCACATTTAAATGCAGGTGTTGTTATGGCAACGTCAGTGGCCAAACAGCCACATTTACTGCTGCAAATACGTTCAAACATGCTGTCGACGTAAAGCAGTGGCATGCCACCATTTCAGCTGACTTTTTCTCAGAAATACTGTCACATAATATCCATATATTTCAGTGCTAGGTTGATGCTTAGCTAAGCTAACTATGAAACACTTTAACTGGCAGGACTCAGGATCAACTGTGTAATGTAAGGTAGCTTCTAGCTTCATGTCGAACACAGACAGTAAGTCAACATTTCCCAGAGAGCTTTCTTTGAAATCACCAGGTAACGCTAAAAAACACAACATTTAGATTGTATGACAAAGTGTTTATTTAATATATCTGGCTAGCTATAGCTACTTGCTAACGGTTTAGCTTACCCGCGCGATTCAAAGTAACGTCAACGTGGCTATAATTTATGCTTTGCTTACATGTTGACATAACTTGTAAGTTTACTGACATGTACATACCTTGTTCACCTGGCTCAGGTGGTGGCTCTGGGGTTGTTGTGTGAGCCACCATTTGAGAATTGCCGTCTTTTTTATTAAAAAAATGTCTAATGTCCATCTTCAGAAACTCGGCGTCCGCGGCTGAAAGTGTAAACACTGTCACAGAGGAGAGGTACGTACCTGTCACTGTCAGCCAATAAAACAAGTTTATTTCCATGCAACTCTCTGATTGGTCTGGTGGTGTCTTGCCTCTGTTGCATTCACTGAACACGGGAAATTACATTCCTGCCGTCCTCTAGGTAAAGTACGGTTAATGTATTATATTATTGAGGGAGAATTTGTCCGGGGCTAAAGAAAAAACATCCGGGGCTTTAGCCCCGGATGCCTACCCCAGGCGACGCCCATGCAGCTCCTCATATCTTTTCAGAAACTAGACACAAGTTAAACAAGTACAAAGCACAGACTGTGTCATGGCGAAAACAGTCGCTGGTTTATTTATGTCTGTAGGCCATTGTTGTGAGTGTGGACGGTCGGAGCATATACAACATTAGCTTAGCCGATCTCCATTCAGAAAACACGTATTTTAAAGGGTTTTTCGCCTGCCGTCTTGTCAAAGCCAATCATGGTTTTTACTAACCGGTATCAGTATGTTGCTACTTCGGCATAATTTTGTTGTAGCTGTATCCCCCTTGCCAGCAATTCTCTCTGGCCATTCAGCAGTCGAGAGTGTTTACGTCACTAGTTTAGCATATTCAGCCCGGTTGTTGGCCCGGTAAGAACCTCGATTTTGGAGGGCCAGAACAAAGGTGAAAAAGTAGCCCTGAGCCGGAACTACCCCTAGTGGAAAAGCAAAATAAAACGGGCCAGGTTTGACACAGCACGCTTAAACCATGCTGCGCGCTGCAGTGGAAATGCGCCATAACACACCCAACATTCACCCTTCCCTTTACAAGAATGTGGTGAGGACCATTCAGGTGGCAGTTTTCTGAGTGTGTCAAATAATGATGGTATAAATATATACAAAATACCCTATCTACAACCAGAGTTTGATTAGTCTGTTCTAAGCTACAATGGACTCCATAGAAGAGGACTCACTCACTTTAGATAAAAAGGGCTAATTTTAAGGTAACAAAACACAATGTTTCTTAGTTTCAGGTGATTAAGTAAAACAAACATATCTGCTAAAAGATGTCCCAAAATACTACACACTGGCGCTTTTTAAATACTAAAACATATTCCTAGATGTTCTTGGGACTAGGCACCCTTCAGATTCCAAGTAGTGCTGTTTTTTTAAACGTGTTGTCTCTTAATCTGAGAAGGTCATCTCGGACAAAGGTGCGTTGACGCTCCTCTTGTTTCAGAAGGAAATCATTAAAGACGGTAATACATGATGAAACAATTCCCAGTGTCACTTGCCTCATGAGCCGTAATAATATACTACCTTGTCAAAAGCTTTGTAAACCAAGTAAAAACAATTATTTACTGTTTTAAAAGCTTCACCATCTCATATGTCAAATAAAAGAGTACAAAATGTACAATCTATGCATTTCGTTTTTTAAATAACTTTAGTAGACAGTTTTTGGGTCACATAAACGATACATTTGATGTTTTTTCTGCTCTTGGTATTAATCCTCTTCTGTATTGGCATTTAATGAAGTGAAGAGCAGAACACTTGTTAAGCAAAAGTCCTGAGAGATCATTTGAAAGTAACCCTGGGAATACTTAAAAAGGAAGAACAATTCAGTGCTTGTCTTGGCACAATGGGAAGTGTTTAGAACTTGGGCTAAACTCATGCCTGTGGGGGGAAGGAAGAAGCCCTGCATCTGTATTCAGCCTGCAGGCCATGCATACAAACATTCCTTCCTTTGGCTCGCTGCTTTACAACAACCTAATCCTTAGCCGTTTCTCTTTGTCTGGCCTTGCCTAAACTCTCACTTTACGTTCTTTATTTTCTCTGACATTTTCTATTGTGCCAGTTCCTTAATAAAATCTAGGCTCATTAATATCCACTTACTGCAATTGAAAGAAAATAGGAATAGGCACAGCATCATTTTAACCAGTGTGGTGCAATTCAGGCACAAGCTGCAGCACTATATGTTCTAACCAGATCTATGGATATGAGTCTGTTTTTCGAAGCCTTTCTTCTAATCTTGTCACAGGAAATGTTTTTTTTAAATAAATCCACACCTCTTCCGTACAACTGGAATATTTTTGCATATATTGACGTCATGATTGCAACAATTGACAAACATATCTTGTAAGTGGAATAAAGCCCAAAGTGTGACGCAGAGGAAAATTTCCATGATGCTCAGCTTGGATTGCTGCCATTGCCAGTCAGATGACAGAAATCTCTTTCTCTCCTTCCCGTCTCTCACCTGTTGAACATGTTGGCAGTAGTTTTTGCAACACAGTCTGCAGCTTCTGTAGGAATTGTCTTTCACTGCCTACCTCTGGCCAAACTGAGGAAAAACACCGTCCTGATGGCTTTTTCCAGTAAATCACAAAATCAACAGGATAGCTCTCTCTTGTGGTGCTATTATGACATGGCACTATTTTCAAAAGTAATTAACTGCTCCTGCTCTGACTCATTGAATACACATAAGAAGGAAAAAAAAGCTTTTTTACGAGTGTTATGGCTCCAGTGGCACATGGCTGTGTTATTCTGCCGAGCTTGTACTGGGAAGATAGTGTAGTACCTGTGTATGATGTGTGTGTGTGTGCGAAACAATTCTGTGCTGTACTGACGCTGCAAACAGTTCATTGGTACAGTGGCCGACAGGTGCAAACACGTTACAACGGCCCAAAACATTTAAATTAGGAGAAACACGTTGCAGTTTTTAAAAAAACGATGCAAATAAAAAAACATCTTCACCATCTTGCCAACACATGTGCAGCGGTCAAGGTGTGTTTAGGGTTTTTACATTTTTCCGGCTGATTTTGGAACATGTGCTTGGAAAAAATATATACTGTGTTTAAGTATTTAAAGTTCTGTAATGTTATAAAGTTATGTTATACTTTGGTTTCAAGGACAGTCATTTCAGAATAGACAAGTTTCTTCAACGAAAAAGGGACCAATTATTTGGGAATCAGAAACCGTGGTGTAAACAAATTGGGTTTTCCCTATAGACTGCATAAAAAAGGATTCCCTAAATCCCATAGCTTTTTTCTGAATAGTATTTATTGTGTGTTGTGATTTATTCATGTGCTTTGCCTCATGTTGTTGTGCTTTGCTCCTTAAAGCCACCGTATGTCTGCCATATTTGATGCAACAAAAGCCCAGATAAACATGCAGCAAACAAAACATCACTCTTTGTTTCAGTCATATCTTCCAGAGATACAAAATCATACATTTAGAAAACGTATATTACAAGCACAATAATAACCACAGAATATATTTTACAAAAGGCACATGCTTTAGAGTCACTGAATGTCTGAACACTTAACAGTAATCACATCATCTTTCCTACAATAAGTGCCATGTGACTGGAACGTTGCAGTCATGCTGGTCAAGAGAAATGTGACCAGACGGAGGAAATATCAGTAAAGAACATTAAGTGACTGTGTGCAGACATCATCTCAGTCAGTCCCACACTTATATCTCTGTGCAGTCATACATGCTTACATCTTTATCAGTCAGTATCACACCAATTATCCTCAACACTGACATATTTTTCTGCATGCACATCTGTTTCCTTAGCGGTTGTGTTTTTTTCATTCTGAATATCAGAATCTGTGTTTTGTGCGTTTATGTGTGTTGTGATGTCACTTGTTGGATCTTCAGGTGTTTGGCTAGGCATGAAGTGATCAGTATCAAAGTCCCTCTCGTCTGTTTGATTCCTGTTAGTTTGTAAAGTGTCAGTGGAGCTGCTGGAGTCTGAGATCTGCTCCTTTGCTGTATCAAAGGACTCCGTAAGAATACTGTCACTGTACGACTGACTGCCGATGGTTTCTGTCTCAGACCCGAAGGCATTCATTAAAAGGCTTCCCGAATCAATGCTGTGTTCTATTTTCCCATTAGTGTCTGAACATCTATCCTCTGTGTCTCCATGGATTGTACAAGTTCTTGGAAAGGAGTTATCTTCACATTTTTCCGGTGTAGACATGATAATGCTGTTTCTCTTCACAGAACTTTCTGTACGTTCCTTATCAGCATTGGCCTCTTCTTCGTTCTGTCTACCAGACTGCGTCTCTGCATCCTCCATGTTTTTCTCAGCAGCGCCGTCCTCTCCTGCCAGAACTCTCTTCAGACTCTGTGCTCTGTCTCTGTAAACTTGGCACAGCTGAGCGTCGGGCATGTGGTTGCAGTGGATCTCGGCCAGCTTCATGTACACCACATACAGAGCCTCGGGGTTAGCTTGGTCCTCCAGCGCCGCCGCCAGAGCCAACTGGAAGTAGCCCACCGCGTCAAAAGAATCCTGGAGAGGTACATAGGTCAGATGTAATCCAAATTAACATCATCTGTTTAAGTTAAAGTTAAGAACAGTGTTTTCATATTTTGTTTGTTGATCAAAGACTGATTGTTATAGATTAGTTTGTCTGGAAAGGGCGTGAAACATGGAGAAGTACAGAGAAAAAGTCTTAAAACATTATTACATTTGTATGTTATCGTTTTCTATTAAAAAATAAAGAATACGATTTTAGAAATTGAAAATTAAACGTATTTGTTAAAGATGTAATATTATATTATAATATTCATCATTCAATTTCAATAACTTAAACTGCAAATGAAATGTTTAACTTAAGTACGTTTATTTTAGTTTTACTTTAAATATTTGAAAATAAATATGATATACCATTTCTGAGTCATTGTAGATTTAAATTGTTCTGTTGTATCTATAAATCTAAGCAGATTTCAGAAACATAATGTGGATATTTGCTCATGCATTGCAAACACAGAAATATAACTGTCTCCTGTACCTTCAGTTTGTGTAGTGTCAGATTGCCAAGTCTGCAGTAAATATTTGTAAAGTAGCGAGCCTCCTTAGGGTCCTGCATGACGGGCGGACAGAAGGACAGGGACTTGAGGTAGTAGTTTTCTGCCATCTCATACTGCTGCAGGCTGTAGTAGACTGTAGCCAGCCGGTGGTAGGCTGTCCTCTCATGCAGATGCACACCTGAGGAAAAACATATATGGTGTCTGTTAGGAAAGTAGTTCAAAAGCTACACCATGGTTATTGAAGCAGGCTGAAGAATCTTTCCTTCTGACAACACTCATGAGGACAGATTCTACTATAGGCCATACTTTTTATATTACCATATTTTATTCAATATGCTCTTTAGATATATTTGTATTGTATTTGTTTTTATTATTTTCTCCTTTTTAAAGTGTGCTATATAAATCAAATTTATTATTATTATACTCTGTACCTGTTTTGCTGGCGACCTCCACAGCCAGCGTAGCGTACTGCAGAGCCTCCTCCTGCTCGCCCTGGTTCATTAACAGCTCTGTGAGTTTACTCAACAAACGGAACTCTGAGTGGATGTCCTTAATGCTGCGTGCAAAGGGCAGGCCGCCATCCTGAAACCAAACCATTTGTTAGATGAGTTCAGCGCCGGCCAAGACTTGAAATATAATTTTGTAGAATAGAAATAAACTCAAACGGAAAGACTGCATCATGACATTGCGTTTTATTTGTTCCTACCCTGTAGAAAGGCAGTGAAGCCAATCTGTTCCTGGTGCCTTTAAAGTAGACGTCTCCTGCCTCCTCGTAGATGCTCATGGCAAAGTGATAATCATTCATCCTCAGGGCTGTCTTCACTGCTGCCTATGAGAGTAGAAGGTGAAACTAAGCTCTGTGTAATGTAAAGATTGTTAAGGAAGTTAAACATTTTTATTCAGAAGCCCTGATAAGCAAGTGGAAAAAATAACTTTCTGGGGAACCATTTTCTTAGTCTGATCCAAACCGTTTTCTCATCTTTGTTTCAAAAAAGCATTACAACAGCAAACACTTAGAGATATTGTCCAGACAATTTTTTAGACTCAGATAAAACCAGAAATCTTATTTCTGACTTGCCTCTCAGATCTTCTGTACATTTTTAAAATGATCTCCACCATATATGTCTCCTCCTCACCTGCAGGTACATATCAGCGAGCTCGTCCTCGTGGATGAGATAATAGATGCGTCCCACCTGCAGCCAGGTCTCTGACTCTTCCTCTCTCTTGCCCAAATCAATAGAAATCCTCAGGCTCTGCTTGGTGCAGTCCAGGGATTTACGTGATGATCTGAAAACCAGAATTAAGACTGTTTTAGCCAACAACCAAACATACTATGGAAAAGATAGGTTGACGATAAGATTGTATGGTAAAGGGAGGCACACACTCACCTTTCAGTGTTGAGGGAGAGGTAGAGGCTGCTGAGGATTTCCAGATACTCCCCCTCTAGTCTCTTTTCCTTCAGCTCTCTGGAGACCAACACACAGTGCTCATAGTAGACGATACTCTGGCCGTACAGCAGCATGTCAGCGTACAGCCGACTCAGCACCTTGGCCACCACCATCTGACCTATGAGAGAACACAACAAAGAATTTAAAACAAACTCATGGCTGATATGAATAGTGAATTTATATTATCACAAGAAATGGCAAGATTCTATAAACAAAGTATTGCCATTGCATAATTTGTCCACCAGGGGATAGAAAAGCTTCAATTGTAAAAGTATTTACTGTATACGAAAGACAGTTAGCTTAGCTAACTTATCTTAGCAAAACGTCTGGAAACAAGGAGTCATTGTGTTTTTGATAGCTTAGATTGAGCTTCCGGGAGTCACTGCCATGTTTCTACAGTAGTCCAGAAGTGACAAACCAAACACTGCTATGGAAAGGGCCTGTCGCATATTTAAATTAAGTAAACCGCTACATCCTAGCTCATAAAGGGAGTGCTGAGCGGAGGGGTATCCTTTTGGTTTCATCTTCACCGCTAGATGCCACTAAATCCTACATACTGGTTATTACATTTTTGGATGTTTTAAATATACAAAATACATTACATTATTGGTAATCTTTAGAGAGACTGGCTAGCAGACATATTTATGTGTTAACTTTTACTCACTGTGTACGTTTCTGGCATGAAGTGCAATTAGTAGCCCCATTTCATAACACGCCCTGCTGTCCTGACTCTTCTTCCTGTCTCTGTAGCTCCGCCCCAGCCAAAGGTAGGTCTGAACATGCTCCTCGTCTGTGGGGCTTTCCCAAAGCTCCAGAAAAAGACGCAAGGATCTGGAAATACAATCACCATAACAATAAATACCTCTCTGTAAGCTCTTACCAGTGTTGAGTTCCCAGGAAGACGTAAACAATGATATCTGACCTGACCAAGAAGCGTTCCGCCACCAAAGATGCCCCTACATCCAGTGCCAGGCAGCCCAGGTTGGCCAGTGCCAGCGCCTGGTTCCTCTGGTTTCCACTTTCTCTTGAGATGACCAATGCAGAGTAGAGATGCCAGCCTGCCTCTGGGATGCGATCCTGCCGCCTCAGACACAAAGCCAAGAGGTTGTGGATCACTCCTTGCTGCGTGGGACTGTCTGTACCCTACAGAGATAACACACAGAAGAAGAGGTTAAACCCTTCTACAAAAGCTGATGCACATTAATCCATGTGGACAGTTTGCTGTACCTGGAGGGATGTGAGCAGGGGCTGTAGGACATTCTGGGCCTTCTCAGCCTGGCCCGTCAACACCAACAACCACCCAAGCATCACGGAGGCTTCAAAGCCCTCCTCCTCATTGATGTGACCTCCTGTCTCCACAGCTTGTTGAGCACAGCGCACCGCTTTATCAAGAGCATCATACTGCTGGTAAACTGTGGCCAAGCCCTGACACAGGTCCCTCTGGGTCTTCAGGTCCTCCCCTTGCTCAGAAATAATCAGGGCCTGCTGGAGGTAAATCACAATCTGCGCAGGGAGCAGGGAAGTCCCCTCCTTCCAGCAAGGGTTCAGGCGAACAGAGTTCCTGATAAACAACTCAATCCTCTGGAAAGCATCGCCAAGGGAGTGGTCTTGTCTTGAGTCCAGGCTCAGGGAAGCCAGCGCTAAGTAAGGCATGTATTTACGATTATAGAGCCAACTCAAGAGCCAGTTGAGGTCCAAAGGCGCTATAGGACGACCCTCTGTGGTAGAAAGAGTCACAGAGAGAAACTGGAGTCGCTCAACGAAGGGAAGGGCATCGTCAGTCTTCCTGAGAAATAGGAAGAGGCTAGAGAGGAGGTAGCAAACGCGAGCCTCCAGGTGTTTGTCCCCCATCACCACTGATCTCCTCAAGAGCAGGTGAAGAAGTTCTGCTTCGTCCGTAGAGGTGAAGGTGTGGCAGGGGAGACAGAGGAGCAGGGCACTGGCCTTCTCCAGAGTCTGGGGCAGTTTGTCAGTCATATGCTGCTTCAGGTAGACAGAGGTGAGGTTGGTGAAGAGTGCGATAAGGAACGGTGTGTCTGAGAAACTGTCCACTCGAACACTGAGAGCCTCCTCGTAGTACACACGGGCCTGAAGCGAGGAACAAACATGAATGTAAGAGCTTTATTCAGACAGATTCATTGAGGTTTGAGGAGTCCTCAGCAAGTAAAATGACAGCATACACTTTTAACCTTTCAGTAATAGGAGACATGAAGAACCCACCTGGGAGAACTTCAGCTTCCTGGCACAGAGTCTTCCCAGGAGAAAGCATGCCCGTCGATGTGCCCAGTGCAAGCCCAACCTCTTGGCACACTCCCTGACACTCTCTAGGTAACCCGGTAGTTCGTCCTCAGTCTTACCACTAAAGGTCACCCAAAGGAAGGAATACTGCAGGTCGTACAGAGGCAGGAAGTCCTCCTGCAATAAATAACAAGCAAGGAATTACAAAGAGTAAATCATGCTGTATGTTTTTGGTAAAAGAGTTCAAGGGAAAGACACAAAGGACACAATAAACTCATAGTGTAAAATACTGTAACAGATCAACTGATGCTGGAGGAACATCATAATACCATGGGCTTAAAACAACTGCAAAGTCATGAGGTGCACAACATCAACAAGTCTCTCAGTGTCTCAAATCCAAACCAAAAATAAAACCAGTATTAAACTAAAAGCCTAGACATGTTTGCTTCCATGAAATCAAGATGTCAAGAAAATGAGAGCCTCTGTGAGGATTGGGATTTTGACTCTACAAACCTGGAAGTGTTCGTGGTTGAGCAGGGTCAATGTGGGGTCACTGAACTCAGAGTCCTCCCCCTCCCAGCTGTTCTCCTCCACGAAGAGAGGCGGGTCTTCCCTGTACTCGTCCAGTTCTCTGAACGTGTCGACCAGAGTGAAGGACAGGCGCTCCCCCTCTCGTGGCAGAGGATTGTGGGACTGATAGATGGACAGACGAGGGGAGGAGTGGGAGAGGGAGGCGCGAGGAGAGGATTGGTACGGGGGCGTTCCTCCACTTTTCTCTGACATTACGCTCTGACGGGCGCCCGCAGAAACCTTATGATCTTTGAAGAAAACAAGACAAGAAATACATTTAAAAAATGTCCAAGTCTTCTTAGTGCATTCGGCTTTAAAAGCTAGTAATTTTCTCATCAATACTTTAAGACATTACCATGTTTTGGTCGGTTCCTAATGTACGTGAAGTCCGTTTCATCCAGTTTGTCTGAAGGTAAATCAATTTAAGCATCAATTTTTCAGTCAGGATAGAGAATACCAGAATAAATCGCTGACAGTTACTTAAAAATAAAAAGGAAACAGCAGCTTCAATAACAACATACTGTAACCAAATATGCAGCAGCTGGGGTATTCAGGTCTTTTAATTGAGTACATGCATACATTTAATGTATGTAAGTATAATTAGGAAAATTAAGTTAATAAAGAACTAAAAGTAATAAAGGCAGAAAAATATCCCATGCGACTGTAATACATGATATCATTAGTTTTTTTTATAATTTATGCATTTGTGTAAAACCACGATGTTGTAGTTGGTTTAGGTGGAGCTAATTTATGAATGATTAATTCATTATTATTTTTCATCATTAATCAATTGACTGTGTTTTCTAAACATTCAAAAAGTTATGAGAAAGGACATCAGGCTGAGAACAACACCTTCCCAAAAAACGCAAAGCAAAGAATCCTTTTAATCCCTTTAAAAACAACCCACACTTAACAAAAGATTTTCAAAATATTGATTTGTAAAGTAACTTAAGCTGTCAGATAAATGTAGTCAAGTAAAGGTAGAAAGAACATTTAAATAACATAAAATACAAATTAAGTACCGGACTTGAGTAACTCCACTAACTGACTTTTCTACACTTAACATGACACTTAATTGGTGGCACTACCCCTCCCTTAACCCCCGTTGCTCCTTTACCCCCGTTGTTCCTTTACCTAGCCTGTACACAGAGCTGATGTCAGTGGAGAAGAGTCTTTCCAGCAGGCTGCTGTCCCCCGGCTCAGAGCTGCAGGGCTTAACCTGAGCCAGACGGGCCCGCTCCTCCTCCGTCAGAAAGACCAACCGTCTGTCTCTATGCGAGGGAAACAAAGGCAGCATTATCACTTCTGCTGTCTCCTCCGCAGACTCACCCCACCCACCCCGTCTGACTGCAGATACACTAAATAGGATTTCATAAAAGATCAGCACAAGGCTGTAAACAACAGGCAACTAATATGGAGTCCAGATAACAGAGCTTTGAAGTTTTAACCAAAACATCATCAGACCAGTTAGGTCAAACCATGTATTATACAACTACATAACATTCTTACAGTGGTTTGGAGACCAGAGGCTTCACATGGGCCTTGTGTACGAAGCCGGTGTGACCTGTGGACGTGTGTGTCGCTATGAACACGGCCAGGCCTCGGACCAACAGACCCTGGATCTCCACAATGTCCCCCTGACTCAGCTGAAGCTCGTCCATGCCCACCGGACTGTAGTCGACTATCGCTTCACAGGAGCCTGTCACTGAGGTATTTGATGAGGAAAAGGTTAGTACAAGCAGAAGTTATGAGAGTTTCAGGGTCAATATGTCAGAACATTGCAATATGACAATTCATCAGTCATTTCATTTTTGTTTTGTTTTATTTCCTGCTCAAGACTTGACTAGATATTAAACGATTAAGTAAAAATGCCTTTCACAGGTTGAAGCTACCGGTATATGTTTAAGCATATTAATATTGATTCACTGTAACCGTGCACTGCTGTGTGTTCCAGTAAATAGAAGGTAGTACAGTTTGATATTATCCGTTGTATTTGTATACAGTAAAACAGCTGACTTCCCAAACACAATAATGTAGAGAAGTTACGCTTTCCTTTCAGACTAGTCACAAAGTATTCCATTATAACATTATAATGCATGCAGACACCTAAAGGTGTCCATGAATGAGTCTGACTTTGGGTAAGTACTGCAATCCTTCAAAAACAATCACTACTACAACTCTAGTTGCAACCTTTACATAATTCTGTCTTTAAAGTATGGTCAACATGTTCCCAAACTGTTGTCTATTGACACAACCAGCATTCATTTGGAGACATGATTCTATATGTCAAATTAAGGTCAAATATTGATCCCTGGTTAGCTCTGATTTTGTCTCCAAAACCTATGATGGAAATATATTTCCCCAAATGCTCCTCTATGTTCATCAGCTTGTGCCAATCTTTGTTTCTCTCGCTGTTTGGTGCTGAGAAAGTAGTGTACTATGAGTTTTCAAAGCTTTTGAAATAAAAACAGCTGCGTCTGACAACAACATTATGAAAGTGGCTTTTAGCAAATTAATCTCAGCTTCCAACGGTCAGAAGAGGAGTTGGTTTTAACTGGGTTCAGTGTACCGCACATTCTGTAGAATGTGTGAACATTTCGTAAGATAAATATTTGTACCTATAGAATGTTCAAATAGTTCCTTTTCTGCTGGCGAGTATCCAGCGTTGCCAGGGTACTTCCTCAGGAACCACCTGACCAAACAGGAAGTATAGTTTAACAAAACTATGTCAACTTATGTGGAAATAGTTTTAACATCTGTATATTGCTGCTCTGTTCATTCAGCCCACACGGTATACAACAGAACGTGTTAAAGGAATACTTCATCCACAATATGACCATTTGTAAATACATTATTTAAGAATTAAATTATTGTTGAAAACTTTGTTTCACATACCTCAACAGTGAACAAAGGGAGAAAATAAACATCCTTTTATATACTCTTACACAACTCGTGAGGTATGATCAAAGTATCTTTTGTCAAGGTAACTACTTCCCTAAAACATGCATTTTTCCTCACATTTTTCAATTTGAAATAAAATGTCTTACTCTACAACTGTGGTTTATAGTTTAACTGTAGTTGAATGTATCTACTTAAATTATATTTTCTTAGTTTATTTTTTGCCGATGAGGAACATAAGAAATATGTTTTTTTCACAAATTGACCGGGTGAAAACTTGATCTACAAATGATCATTTGGTGGATGAAGCCTTCTTTTAATCACACAATTGCTTTCAGTGAAAATCAAGGAATTAGTAACTGACGCGGCACATTTCAGGAGCACAGAGAGACTCACTGATAGAAGGGGTAAGGCAGTGGTTGCATGGAGTTGACCGGCACCAGACCGTGGTTTCCTGTGGAGAGCTTTGTGCCCTCCCACATGTTGTCCTGCCCCGTGTCCCTCACCATCAGCAAGTCATTCTTATTGAACGCCAGCTGCTCTTCGTCATCCTCATCCATATCAGTTCTTGTAAAAAGCGCCTTTGCAAAGAAGGAACCTGCACAGAGTAGACTGAATCAGCCTCCCACATTAACACAGACAAATAAGCATGTCTGAATCATATCAAGTGTCAGTGTTTTTGATAGAAGCCACATCACACTTAAGTGAAACATCAGCAAAAGTGCTACAGCTTGTAGCAAATGATGGATGTTTTGTGTACTCCTATTAAGTTAATGTAATTCTCATCACTTTTTGCAAGCTCTGCAGTTTTATTCCATGGAGCTTTTTGCCTCTGGGAAATGTCCGGAAGAAGGCAGTGACGTTTACCAGCCCGGAGGAAATCAATTCTTAAAGGTAAGTATTACAAAGGTTATGCATTTGCAGAACACTCGTTTTATAAGTGCATAAGCAAATTGCAAAAATTCAATTCAGTTTTCATTTACTTCACTAGTACAACCCGATATATCAAATACAAATCATTATAACTTTGACTTGTAATTAGAATTACTTTATGTTTGAGGACATTGGCTTTTTTAATGACAATAAGCTGTCCATTGCCATAATTAGTCCAAAGTCATTTGCAGCAGTATACTCCTGAATATCTCGTGGTGTTAATTGGGATCAGTGAAGAAGGATTACAACAAATGGGATCAAATGGCAGATATAATTAACCACTATATAATTACAGTGATCATTTTTAAGTCACTTCAGAAAATGAGTTTCAGATAGAAGAAAATCTCACATTTACATTCTGAAATTGTAAGGAAACATTAGCCTTTTCACTCTTTTTGTCAATAATAAAAGTGCTCAAAATGAAGTACAGTAGCAGAAGATGACTGACCCTCCTGGAGTAACAGTCCCAGGTAGAGTGTGGCCAGATGTTCCTCGTCCACAGTCACATTGATCTGCAGGTCACTGAGCAGCTCTGGGTCCAGCCAGAAGGACTGATCACACAGGAAGTTCTCCAAGCAGCGAGCAACATAACCTGGGAGAGAGTAAATCAGACCCAAACTAATACTCCCTTTGCTAATATCACTTTATCCTCAACAACAGAAATGTATTTAATGATGATAATAACAATAACAATTTGTTGGTGATGTGACAGTCAATGAAGCACTTCAACTGTCATTTCAAAGTTTTTACCTAAGGCTAGGTACGTTGAAAACTTCCAGATTTCCTCCACAGTCTTGAAAGTGAGTACGAAGCTGTCCTTCTCAGCATGGACAGACACCAGCCGTGCAGACAAGTCCTGCAGGAACAAAGCATCATGTTTCACTAACAGTAGAGCCATCAATTTCCATTCCAAGCACAATACATAAACATATCATATTGCATTTGAGGGGTTCTTATATCACAATGCACCTTTGTATCCGTTATGATTTCAGAAGGATTAAGTAGTACAGTAATGTCTGCATCCGCAGCTCAGACTCACTTTAAAGAGCTGGATCACATCCTGGCTGTTGCTCTCCACCACTCGGAGTCGGGTGCGCAGCGCCTCCTGTAGGGCCTGGTCCGGATCCATGCTGGAGCGCCTCCTCCCAGTGAACAGCAGTTCAATTTCTACACAAAACAAAAGAAGATTGCTGTGATCAATCACTCTTAGATAGATTATTTTCACTAGTGGAAACATACAGAATACAAACAAATCCAATGCAAATAGGCTCAGATGAAAAATTAGCTCAGCGGGAAGATTTACCATCCATTGTCACTGTGACGCTGACCGTTGAGCGGCCCGACCAAGCAAGGAGGCAGAGGCAGAGAATTCAAATATAACTCGGTGTGGGCATTTATTCATCGCTGTGGTACAGGATAGTACAGCCTCAATATTGCTGCCCAGGTGAACACAGTCACCAGCCACAAGGATCTCACCAACACTACCAGCCTCTCAAACAGACAGGGTAACAGACCCTAAATACACCACATTCTAATCAGCACAACAAGACACAGGTGAGGGGGGAGGAGACAACACAGGACACCAGGTGCACACGATCATCAGCCACAGACATCAACTGTACTGTGCAATCACGCTAATAAAGTGCAATATTACCCGGCCTGAAGCCATCAGTCCATAGTGACGAAGTTACCTTCATCACATTTCCTTCCCCCTCTCCCCAGGAAGCACAGTGTCTCTACAGTCTTGGCTTCGGGACAACCAGTCAGCCACCCGGTTTCAACGCCGCCTCCTCCGCCACCTCCAGCGGGGCCAGTGAAGCCGCCGTCAACCATGTCGTGATGCCACCCACGACTCCTCGTGGGTCCGGGTCCGCCTCCTCGGCCTGCAAACGCCGCTCCTCCTGCTTGTCTCACGTCTCCCGCTGCCTCAACAGCCGTGGCCCCCCGGTCCGTTCCAGGCACAGCCACCCCCAGCCGCGGTTCCTCTCTTTGGTCCCTCCTCTTTCCTCTCGCAATCCTCACCTCCTTACTTGGTCAAATCCCACTTCTGACACCAATTGTGATGCTGACCGTTGAGCGGCCCGACCAAGCAAGGAGGCAGAGGCAGAGAATTCAAATATAACTCGGTGTGGGCATTTATTCATCGCTGTGGTACAGGATAGTACAGCCTCAATATTGCTGCCCAGGTGAACACAGTCACCAGCCACAAGGATCTCACCAACACTACCAGCCTCTCAAACAGACAGGGCAACAGACCCTAAATACACCCCATTCTAATCAGCACAACAAGACACAGGTGAGGGGGGAGGAGACAACACAGGACACCAGGTGCACACAATCATCAGCCACAGACATCAACTGTACTGTGCAATCACGCTAATAGAGTGCAATATTACCCGGCCTGAAGCCATCAGTCCATAGTGACGAAGTTACCTTCGTCACAGTCACCCAGAAATAAACAAATAATGTGTGTGTATTCCTTTTTGCTAATTCATCAAACTTGCACAAGTCAGTTGTATTTCTCTGTCACTGAGTAAAAGGGAAATTCATCTGAAGAGAGACAAAACTTTCAAGACTTCATTAAAGATTTTACACAAGTGCTCGTATTTCAGCAAGATGCTCAGTGAGCATGTTTGTCCCAGGAGGAATAACAAAGCTATTAGGCTTCATACTGGACTCTCAGTGTGTCCATTTAAATCCATTTGAGAGGAAGAACCTAGGGAAATGTGATGGATGGAGCCAAACTGCTGATAGGGTAAAACATTAGTATGGAGATGTGCTTTATCTCTTTAATGCAGGGGAAATGCTTCTGTGTATGTAAGATAATTGGTTTAGCCTGGCTAATGTAAAAGCTAGTTTTTCAATACAAACACAATGCAGGCTATGGCCTATGGCGAAAAGCATCTATAAATGTACCTGAGGAGAATTTCTCTCCGAGTGACACAGTACTTCCTCTGAAGAATGCCTCTTTCTTCTTCCAGTAGCTGTCAGGCTCCCCTGCGCCTTCACCTGACTCCACCATTGGACCGTCCTCCTTCTCACCTGCACAGGTCAAAACAAAAAAAATGTCAGGAGAAAAGCTTAGATTGTCATTTTTCTTATTCAACCTTCAAAGGAGAGCATCTATGTCCTTCTTTTATGCACCTTAAACTCAATCCAGTGTTGGTTAAGCCTGTTTATCCAAAACAGCATTTTGGATTTTGGTTGTTTACGTGTGTTGAATGTAGAAACAATTTTATCAAAAGGGTCATCACAAGTGCTGTTCAAAGTGTACAATGCAAGTCCTAGACTGTCATGGAGAGATTACATGGAAATGTTACCAGATGACACATCTTAAGTAGTCTTAAGTAAGGTACAGAACATATGTAACAATCACACTCATTTGAACCCAAATCATTTTCCTAACTGCAACCAATCAGTTTTGTTTACCACTTCAACCTTGCGTGTAGGTGAGGTTTGCGCCATAGAAAGCAATATAATGGTAGTGATAATAACTGATAACGGTCATTTAATGAGCTGATAACATCCAAACTTCCAATCAATGTTTAGTTTCTAAGTGGAAAGAGTCAGCAGCCTGAGAGCCTGAGAAGCCCGGAGCGTACGTTAAGGTACAAGTCAGTGAAGAACTTTGATCATACGTTCAACTAATTAATGGATGATAAGGACAAGTTAGCTGTCATTCTACAGTACCCAGAGAGGCAGAACTACACGTGCCAGAGATGTTTACATTACTTTTAACTGACTATGTCAACTCTTTTTCTTTTGGCTACCTCAATCACTATCCACTCCTTTTTCACTTGTTACTATTAATCCACAACTATAGGCTTTCTGATTTAACTATTCATCCCTTAGATTTATAATATAACTATAAAGTACCCCCACCACTGACTTTATGTAAGCTGTATGTCTTTAGACATTAACATGATCTTAATAGTTTTGAAACCTATAAATATCAACCAGATGGATGCGTATAATAGCTGGGCATTGAATTATAGTGCTGACGAGCTTCCCCTGGTTTGTTCCATTGTGAGGGGAGGATGTCCCAAACACTTCCTCAGTTTGTGACCGCAGACAGCAGCTTTAATGAACCTCATGACAAGTGTTGACTTTGTAGTAATCGTTTTTCATATTTGATTGATATGTTTGTTTTACAATGTCTACCTTGAGTCATGATGTCATTTCCTGAGAAGTGTACATGTGCTTCTCCAAGAGTATATGGTGGTTCCCTCCAAAGAGCATCCAGCTCAGCAGGAGAGATGTCTGTAAAAAGGGAAACAAATCAGTACATGAACCTGTGGAAAAACACGTGTAGTCCCCTTCACTTCCTTTTACTATCAAATACTTCACTGATTTTCAAAGCAGTTTAAATATTATCTAAAGGCATCTTAAAGTAAGAGTTTGTTTATATTTTGTATAATAAACATATTTCCTTTCTTGCAACAAAATAGATGACAACCTCAATACCAGTCTCCCGTTGGTATTATTTGTAAGTAGCTGGACACAGCAGTTGGTAAATTAGCTTAGCATAAATACTGAAACGACAGCTAGCCAAACTCTGTCCAAAAGTTCAAATTGGCAGAACTTCTTAGGCTCACAACATGGTAAACTATGAAAACAAAATGTCCCTTTTTATACAGGTGCTAGAAGCAGCCTAGACTCCAAGACAATAACTGCTCCTGTATGGGCCGTCAAAAAAGCCCCCATAAATAAGCTGTAGATGGGCTTTTATTGCTTATCTGCAATATTTGAAATCGAAAACGCCAAGAACAAGCCATTGGTTAGTGTGAGGAGTTATCAGGGTTTTGGGGTTGGGCGGGGGTACAATGATGTTGAACAAACACAGGACCATCACAGACACACAACTGCTCTAATATAAAAAAACCTCCAGGCTCAGCCAGCTGCCCCGCTCCTGACACCTCCAACAGTCACATGTTGTCAGACATACAGTCACAGACCATAATAAGGAACACATTGTTAACCAAAGGGTAACAAGGTAAGTAATCATTTTGATTAAGATGACATTTTTGCACATGCTTTGTCAGTGCATAAAACACAGCAGGACAGTATTATATTGATACAAAGCATTCACAACTGGACAATGGGGAGTACAACTTAGCAACACAATGCAACATGACATTAAGCCAAAGAGGACAACAGCCTATTCTTCACCATCCTACGACACAGAGCACAGTTAGCACCCACAGGACTGCTTGAGGCGACACAAGCACAGTCATGCTGCTACAGGACAGAAACACACACCATGCCCTTGTTACCTTCTTGGCTAGGTGTGTTACCCATGTTGTTTCTAAGAGCTATATGCTCCTGGCTATCTGAATGTAGAAGTCATGACGGTACAGTGGTAGCGCAGACAGAGAGCGGGCTGGGACAGACCTGTGAAGGAGGAGAGGCAGACTTTGATGAACGGTCCACAGCAAGAGGAGTGGAGCAGCGGTCTGCAGCAACAAGACGCCATCTGGCCCAGGAGCCAGCAGCAGCTCCCAGAGATCAATGCCATCCCATCAGTCCCCCCCCAGCTTCTTCTACAACAACAACTCGCTCTCTTCCTCTCAGTTGGACAAGCCCCGTTTCCCTTCCTATTCCTGTATTGCCTTTCCTGTGCTGCTCACTCTGTCTTTCCACAAGTTTACTGGATGTCCCACTGCAACTCTTATCTCCTCTTCTTCTCTATGTGTCTGCTTTCTCTTTCTAATCCCTCTGTCTCTTGCTGTCTCCATCTCCCTCCTCCCACAGCGTCCCTCTCTCTCTCTTCAGTAGCTGCCCAGTCAGTCAGTGAATGCACAAAGCACTCTCTGCGATTGGTATGAGTGTGTGTGTTAGTGTGTGGGGTAGTGGGGACAGGCCTTAGTGAGAGTCTGTTGTGTGTTCCCTATGTGGAAATATGCACAGAATGCGTTGCACAAAGACAATGTGTGTGTGAGAGTGTATCGCTGAGCCACTGTAAGGCAATGCCACACAGGGACAGGCAGCAAGGTCACATAGAGGAGGGGGAGAGGGGGAAAGTAGCCTGGTGGCAACGATCGAGGATCAGTTTATCCACAGTTCAACACAACTCAGCTCTCTGCCATCACACGGGTAACAGATTAGATGACAGCATCGACCTACACCGTAAGGTCACCATGAGGAAGAGGATGGATCTAATATTGGATGGTGAGCGATTCCATGAAGGTTTAAAGTGTTCAATACTTCGTTATGATGTACAAAACTACAACATGTGGTGCCATGAGAAGTTCACAATGGTTGACTTCATGTGGCCTTTGCTATTGGAGAAGGAAATAGCCTATAATGCAGCACTTCAAAGTGTGAATTAAACTGATCAAGTTCTCCAGGCCACACATTGTGCAGAAAGGGGACTCCAGTTTGATGAAAGTAAACTAACCAAATTGGTCACTCAGTAATTCTCTACCACAATGTGTTCACTCAGTCGGAAATGAAAAGCCCAGATAGTGCCAGATTTAAAAGCTATTTTATGTGTTGTGTTCCTGACCTGGGTGCGTCAAAAGGATATGTTTAACAATCTGTAGCAGCCAACTGGAACACAATTCCCCTTTCTATTTGGTGAAGATCTCAATAGGACACAAAGAAAGAGCTGAAAGTCAAATATGCATTCGATACAAGTTGATAGGTAATATATCAATATCCTATTTGTACTGAGAATACTATGAGCTTACTGATGAATACGAGTTGGATCAAATCTGAAGATAATACTCAAATTCTACTCTCATATAGTGCCTTTAATTTAGAACATTTTGATTAAAACTAGGCTTATACAACACAGCCTAGCCTAGCCCATAATGTCTATGTCGGAATATTATTGTATGGAAATGTATGGCTACAGGAAATTGTTGTTGGTGGAGGGAATTTCCCTCTTTCTTTATTGTAGACTGTAGAGCACATCCCTGCTTGCTGCCCTGCAAACTGATTTTAAAGCTTTATTAATTTATGTGTTAAAGGAAATGGAATTTTCCTTTATGAGTGACTTAAGACATTAACGGCCCGTCCACACAGCGGCGTGCGTTGAAGCTTCCAACGCTTCTGCCCATTCACTTTGAATGGGGTGACGTCACTTTTAGCCGAACTGCATTTTGGGAAGCGACGTGGAGCGTTGCTGGCGTAGCTGGGGTCAAAAGTTGAGCAATGTTCAACTTTTGACGCCTCGACGGAGGCGTCAGCCAATGAAATCCCGTTTATGCAAATCTGCCAGTACAAGCACTAGCCAATCAAAACGCGTGTAAGCTGGGAGAGACTACGCAGGTCATTTCCTCATATTCAAAAAAATGGAGGGAAAATTCATTATAGCGGTAGTGAATCACCCGGTGCTGTATGATCAGTCTCTGTTGATCTACCGCGATACAAACCGGAGGAACCAGGCATGGAGGGAGGTGGCAGAGACAGTGGGTGAATCTGGTAGGTTTTCGCCTGTTTGGGGATTTTATATCCAGTTTACTTCGTTTTAACATTGCTATTGCTTTGTATGTCGGGGGCAGGAGATTCATGTGATTGGTTGTTGGTCGCGTTGCTCGCAAAAAATCCCCAAGCTTCAGATACGCCCACCTCCAAGCGTCAACGCACGCTGCTGTGTGGACGCTCCGTAACGGCCCGTCCACACGGCGGCGTGCGTTGAAGCTTCAACGCTTCTGCCCGTTCACTTTGAATGGGGTGACGTCACGCTTTGCCGAACTGCATTGTGTTTCCGTCGCTTCGCTTTGCTCGCGTTGCTCGCTTCAAAAGTTGAGCAATGTTCAACTTTTGAAGCTCCGACGGAAGCTTCAGCCAATCAAATCATATGCCAGTACAAGCTCAAGCCCAGGGGTGGCCAACCCGCGGCTCTCGAGCCGCATGCGGCTCTTTGCCTAGTTTCATGCGGCTCTTCAGTTCATATCGAATTGTATATGTGTGAGTTTGGGGGAGAGACACTGACTCCTGACTAGTGTTGCACGGTGTACCGATACTTGAAAGGTACCGCGATACCCTGCCGTTAAAAACGTTACTATTCCTCCGTTTCATTAGTATCGGTACTTTAAGAATGACGGGGGAAAGTACTCTGGTGAGAAAGCGCCGTTTAATAAGAGCCGTGTGTGTTCAGCGCTCTGCTTCCATTCCCTGCACTGCAGCCGTGCCTGCAGTCCCGCCCCTCTCAAGCACGCTCTAAGTCCCTCCCCTCTCTCATGCACGCGCTAGCTGCCAGAGTATGTGAGAAAACGAGAAGCATGGCTGCAAGTGGGAGTGCAACTGCCGCTGCGCCTCGGCTTGTTGACAAAAAAGACGCCAGAAGCGAAATTTGGAAGTATTTTAGCTATATCTCTGACAGTGAGGGCAAGCCACGGACACCACGAGGCCCGTCTGTAAGAAATGTATTAATTTGATTTAATACGAATTATTGTCATTTGTTTTATTTATTGTTGTCATTGTTTAAAAGTTTGTGTTATGGTTATGGTTCTGGTGTGAAATAAAGCACAATAATTACATTTAAGACTGTTTCCCTTTTTTTAAGAAAAGTATCGAAAAATAATCGGAATCGCAATTCTTGACTTGGTATCGAAAACAAAATGTTGGTATCGTGACAACACTAGCTAGCTACTCCTGACAGTTAAACATGATATTTAGTAGGTCTGTTAAGTATTGAATGCTGATAATTCTGACGTAATTTGGCCGGTCAAAGTTGTTTGGGCTCGGATAAAATCGCTCCGTTACTTTCGTCCCGTGTTACTTTCGTCCCGGCTCTCCCTACGTGTGTATGTGTGGTGTCAGGAGTCAGTATGAGAGGATGACAGCGCGTCTAATTTTGATGTGGCCCAAGAGCCAATCACAATAATACCTGTGATGCAGTGAACCAATCACCTTTGAGGGGGGGGAAACCTATCGTTGATTAAACACTATCCAGTGTTTCCCCTACCATTGTCTTGGAGGGGCGCTGCTTCCCGCCAACGGAGCCCCGCGCCTCCCCTGGAATTCAAGGTGTTTAAAAAATATATATAATTATTTTTTTTTTTTAATATATACATAGCACCAAATTGCAAATAATCTATAACTACTGTCACTTTTCACATTGAACATGTGCTCTTTTATTAAATAAACTAAACGCTTTCATTTTAAGTTGTGAGTTTAGTGTTTTTGACCCTAAGAAACACTGATGCATTAATCAATACCAATAATCCACAGCTCCTCTCTCTGCTCCAGAGGATTTAAAAAATATATATCCCAATGCCACAAAAATGCATCAGTGACGTGGTTGAAATCTTGTCTCCAGAAAACAAAAAACTGAAACAAGCGGTATCAGTGACTGTGTGTTTGATGTGGCTCTTTGCAGTAAAATAGAAAAAAATTGGCTCTTAACCTCTGACTGGTTGGCCACCCCTGCTCTAGCCAATTAAACCGCATGCTTGTGTGTCTGGGGCGGGAGATTCATGTGATTGGTTGTTGGTCGAGTTTCAGACACGCCCGCCGACAAGCTTTAACGCACGCCGCCGTGTGGACGCCGCGTAACTCATGTGTATCTGAAAGCAGTGACAGGACATTTCCATGGGAAGTTAAAGGTGGGGTAGGTCATTTTGGAGAAACCAGCTTGAGTGCGCTAGAACAGATGGAAGGCTGACAGGCCGGTTGGCCATCCAGTTATTTTAGCCGGGCCAGCTAACATGATGGTTGTGCTTTTTCCAGTAGCCTACTACGGCTTCCACAGATGACATTTTTTAATGGATTTTTTTTCAAAGCACTTAAGATATTCATTGCTACCGGGATCTTAAGAGCATTCCGTGGAATATTACAAAAAGTGTATCTCGAGCCGGTTTCTCAAACTTACCTACCCCACCTTTAAGCTGGGGAATTTTGGAAATATTCCATATTTGAAATAATATTATAAATAATATTTGACCTATCATGCAAAATGCACTTTTGTACGTCCTTTATACATGAATATGTGTCCCCGGTGTTCCAGGGAACTCACCAAGTCTCAGAAAACACAACCCTCTCTATTTTCCTCCATACCCAAATCTCTAAAAAAGGGGCTGCAACGGATCTGATACAGACTGATCCAGATTTGAACACTGTCCTGACGTCAGTAAAGTGGCGCTACGGCTATTGGTCAATTCTGCACCTATCAGGGGAATGAGAGGTTGGGCCACGGCCGGCCATTGCTGCTCGAAAGCGCGACGCTGTAGTACATATGCCAGGCCTGTAAGTGGCGCTGTAGTCTGCCACAAAAGCAGCGAAGAAGACTTCCCTTGCATGGTTGCCATGGTTGCCCTTCTGTTTATTCTCCGCTGTGGCTCTTTTTCTCCCTCCCCGAGGCAAGCGTTTGCGCCTCCTGCTTTAAAACAAATGAATAATGACTCTATATAATCATATGTAAGGGATAATGTGCAGCGACACGGTCATTATGGGGAAAAGAACACCGACAGGCCGATCAGGAGCCCGACGCGAAGCGGAGGGATCTAGATCGGCATGAAGGTGTTATTACATGGCCACATTCTCGACAAAGTAACGACATGACTCCCAATATTAATTGAAATGCTTTTATGGATTTAGAAAATGATTGTATTGATTTAAAAAATAGTTGTATTGATTTAAATTGACATGCATCCGCTAAGAAAAATAGTCCGTTGTTACTGTTTGAACTAACCTAGCAACGGCAGGAACTGCTTCGATAGTGTTTTTGAGGAGCTTTTTGATTACAGATTTGAAAACATCGTTGCTTGCTTTAAAAGTAACACAATTCATTATGTCAAACCTTGGAAAGTATCTAGATATCCCTGCCCTAATGCCAAAGTAACTGGCAACTGAATATGTGTCGCCGTTTGACGTCTATGTCTGGACCGCTGCGTAAAAAGGAGGGTTTCTGCCCCATTACTTCTATAATAATAAAACACGGTGGACGGAGATCTCTTTTTCTCCCCCTCTTCTCCATGCTGCAGCCTAGCAGTTGATCTCAAAGCACGCTCCCCTCTCCTGCAGGGGGGCGTGGTCAGCTGCAGCTCACAGAATCAGCCCCCTGCAAAAACAGCGCTGGAAAGAGCAAATGGAGCGAAATGAGGCATGGCTAAAATGCAGGATCTTTTTGGTATTTTGAAAAAAAAACTATATTTATATACTTTATATAGGTATGGCCCTACAATATATTGTTCAAATATAGCATGATAGGTGTCCTTTAAGTTTTCCGCACTCTCGTGGGAATAAGAATAAAGTGGTCCTTGGTATGAACAAGTTTGAGAAACACTACTAGATGAATACATTTGTATGTGATATTTGCAATTTAAAAATTAAATACATATATTACCCCATAATATCATCAACACTTACTTCACTTTGTGTAGTCCACAGACTCAAATGTGTGGCTTTATTTGTCTTGTGCTTTGGGCTCAAAAGTGTGATCCAGTCTTCTAGAAATCATCTGTGCATGTGATGGAGGGATGCACAGTGCCTGTAGGGGGTGTGGTCTCAATAGCCAGTAAGCAGTGTGCTATGTGCATGTGATTGAGGAATGGCAAGTGTACTTGAATGGCATCCGTTTGTTTTAGTCAACATTATGCTAACATATACTTCCCCAACTATATTTAAGTTCCCTATGAAGAGCCAACCTTCAATTTAGAAAATTCCCAGTTTATTCCCATACATTCTCGTTTATTCCCATGGAAAGTTTCCATCTTTGAAAATTCCCTGAATTTTGCAACCCTAATGGTGACACTGACCAAACACTTTAAATGTATACGCTAGCAATTTAGTCTAATCTATAAAGATAGGAGGTTTAGAAATAATGCTTAAAGAAAGAAACATTGCCCGGGATGTTCTAAGGCTCCTTATATGATTCACCCCCCAAAACTCAGGATTCATATATTTCCCAATTGAACCAAGAGGATGACACCCTTGTCTGATACCAGCCTCTTCATCTTGTTTACGTAGCGGCTGACTGGACGTGATTTAATCTGTGTGTGTGTATCTTGTGAGGCAGAAAGCTGTAAACAGGCTAAAGGCGTGTCAGGGCATATCCTGAGACTCTTTAGACTCCCCTGCTTGTTTATTTTAGAGCAACAGATTCTGTCTAATCTAATAA